TGTGCCACATTTTCTTAATCCAGTCTGTCACTGATGGACATTTGGGTTGATTCCAAGTCTTTGCTATTGTGAATAGTGCCGCAATAAACATACATGTGCATATGTCTTTATAGCAGCATGATTTATAATCCTTTGGGTATATACCCAGTAATGGGATGGCTGGGTCAAATGGTATTTCTAGTTTTAGATTCCTGAGGAATCGCCACACTGTCTTCCACAATGTTTGAACTAGTTTACAGTCCCACCAACAGTGTAAAAGTGTCCCTATTTCTCCACATCCTCTCCAGCACCTGTTGTTTCCTGATTTTTTTAATGGTTGCCATTCTAACTGGTGTGAGGTGGTATCTCATTGTGGTTTTGATTTTCAGCAGCAGAGTTTTTTAAACAGCTGTGTCCTAGGCCAATGCTGCTCAGACTTTAGTGGGCATAAAAATCACCTGGAGAGCTTGTTAACTCAGAGATGCCACACCCCCAGAGCCTGTCTGATTCAGTAGACCTGGACTGAACCAGAGAACCTGCATTAATGAAAACCCAGGTGATACTGATGATGCCAGTCTGTGGACCACATTTTGAGCAGTACTGGCCTAAATCATTTCTCTTTAGTATTGCAACAATTTCTTCAAGTCCCAGAATCTACAGCTCTAAGTGTCTGATCTCCCTCACTTTTTATTTGAAAAAGCCAAAGTGGCTGGGCATGGTGGCTCAGCCTGTAATCCCAGCACTTTGGGAGGCTAAGGTGGGTGGATCACCTGAGGTCAGGTGTTCAAGACCAGCCTAGCCAACATGGTGAAACCCCGTCTCTACTTAAAATACAAAAAATTAGCTGGGCGTGGTGGTACGCACCTGTAATCCCAGCTACTCGGGAGGCTGAGGCAGGAGAATCGATTGAACCCAGGAGGTAGAGGTTGCAGTGAGCCGAGATCCTGCCATTGCACTCCAGACTGGGGGACAAGAGCAAGACTTTGTCTCAAAACAAAACAAAACCAAAGCCAAACAGTTCAATGGTGGCTAATATTACCTGGGTGTTTCCAAGGATTCTATTCATCTCAAGTCATCAAAAAAATCTATGATTTCCTTACTCTGTATCAGATAATTTCCTGCTTTTTTAGGGAGAGTGAAGCAGGGGTAGGCAGGAGACTACACACTTCCAGAGACCCAGGTAAAGGAAGCTGCACATCCAGAGAGCCATTTCAGAAAGCCAGCCTATTCCATGGGTGATACTGATTTTTCTTATTCTTTTGTGGTAATACAGGTATGCCAGACTTCAGGAATGGGACAACTTTTACATATTTTCCAATAGAGCTAAAAATCTTTTGCCAAGAAGAACCACGACACTTATTTATTATGACGGAATATCTAGGTACATGGAGGGGCAAATTCTTCACCTTCAAAAACAAATCAAAGAACAGTCAGACAATGCCCAAGCCAGTGGGGAGGAGCTACTCAAGGTGAGGCCTATTCTCCAGCTTCCAGTATAAAATACGCCTTAAATGGATCTCTATCTACTTCGTGTGCTAATTATTTTCTCATTATAGAATTCATATATGTTTATAAAAATAGAAGTTTTTGAAGGCACTTCCCCAAAGAAAGAAAATATAAATTGCAAATAACCTTACTACTTAAAGTACTTTTTGTATATTGAGATCCCACTTGTCAAGTATTTTTCTGTGTGTGTGCATGCACATTTCTCTATTTTGTAATTTGCTATTAAATATATTATGAATAATTTCCTGTCATTAAATTATTTTTCACATCACGATTTAAAAGGAAGCATGGTATTTTATCTTACAGATATACGATTGCATGACCTAATTATTCTTGGATAGAACTTTTCTGTATGATTTTATTGCTATTGCTATGATAAAGCATCCTGGTAGACAAATCATTCCACACAATTTTAACAATTCAAATATGTATTAAGCATATTAATACAAGAGTGCTGGGGTGCAAGAGTGAGCAAATTAAACACTCCAAGAGTTTACAGCCTGGCATGGGCAAGCCCCCTAAGAGAATAAAGGGCTAAATCTCTGGTGTTGGGTTGACACATTTGCCTTGTTCTTGTAAATACGGAGCACCGGTGTATTAGTTTTCTATTGCTCTGTCACTCATTACCACAAATTAACAGCTTAAAACAACACCCACTTCTTGACAGAGCCTCACTCTGTTACCCAGGCTGGAGTACAGTGGCGCAATCTTGACTCACTGCAACCTCTGCCTCCCGGGTTTCTCGTATCTCAGCCCCCCAAGTAGCTGGGATTACAGGCACGTGCCACCATGCCTGGCTAATTTTTGTATTTTTAGTAGAGATGGGGTTTCACCATGTTAGCCAGGCTGGTCTTGAACTCTTGACCTCAAGTGATCCACCCACCTCAGCCTTCCAAAGTGCTGGGATTACAGTGAGCCACCATGCCAGGCCCAAAACAACACCCACTTCTTAACTTACAGTTTGGCGGGTCTGAAGCCTGGGTGGTCTGGTCCAGGATCTCTGCTTAGGAGATGTATTTACATAAGCAGACATAATTGAATAATTGAACACATTGTTGCTGTTGTTATTTTGAACAAACTGTCATCTGTTAGAATAAGAAAAGGAAAATTTTTATTTTACCTCCACTTACTCTTTCTTCAATGCTTGCTTTCTTTATGTAGAACTAAGTTTCTGAACTATATATTTTCCTTCTCTCTAAAGAATTTCTTTAACATTTCTTGCAAGTCAGGGCTATTAGCAACAACTTCCTTCAATTTCAGTTTGAGAAGTCTTTATTTTGTCCTCAATTTTGAAGGATAATTTCACTGGGTAAAGAATTCTAGGGATTTTTTTCCTGTCAACAGGTCATGGCACTGTCTTCTTGCTCGCATGGTTTCTGAGGAAAAGTGAAAGGCAATTCTTCTTTTGTTGTTGTTGTTCATCTATAGAAGTCCCTTGGGCTTCTTTAAAAATTGTTTTTCTCTTTTTTTCTGAAATGGAGTCACTCTGTCACCCAGGCTGGAGTGCAGTGGCGTGATCTTGAGTCACTGCAACCTCCACCTCCTGGGTTCAGGCAATTCTATTCTCCTGCCACAGTCTCCTGAGTAGCTGGGATTACAGGCGCCTGCCAACAGGCCTGACTAATTTTTGTATTTTTAGTAGAGACAGGGTTTCACCATGTTGACCAGTCTGGTCTTGAACTCCTGACTTCAAGTGACCTGCCCACCTCCACCTCCCATAGTGCTGGGATTACAGGTGTGAGCCACCCTGCCCAACCTAAAATTTTTTGTTTATCTTTGATTTTCTGTAGTTTACAAATTATATGCCTATGTGTTGGGGTTTTGGGGCATATGTCCTACATGGTGTTCTGCGAGCTTCCTGGATCCCTGGTTTGGTGTTTGACCTTAATTTGGAAAACATTTCAGTCTTTCTTGTTTCAAATATTTCTGATGTGTCCTTTCTTTCTTCTCCTTCTGATATTTCTATTATGCATCTAGTATACTGTTTGTACTTATCCCACAGTCCTTGGATATTCTGTTATGGTTTTTCTTTTCTAGTCTTTGTTCTCTTAGCTTTTCAGTTTTGTGGATTTCCATTGATATCCCCTTGAACTCAGATTCTTTCCTCAGCTGGGTCATGTCTACTAATAAGCCTATCAAAGGCATTCTTCATTTCTCTTCAGTGTTTTTGAACTCTAGCATTTATTTTTTGTTCTTTCTTAGGATTTCCATCTCTCTGCTTATATAGCTCTTACATGCTCTCTACTTTATTCATTAGAGCTTTTAGCATATTAATCATAGTTATTTTAAATTCCCAGTCTGATCATTTCAACATCCCTGTCATGTCTGGTTCTGACTTGTGTTTTCAAACTGTGTTTTTGCCTTTTAGTATGCCTTGTAATTTTTCTTGATAGCCAGATATGATGTACCAGGTAAAAAGACTTTGTCTAAATAGGTCTTTAGTAATGTGATGGTAAGGTGTGAAGAGAGGGAAAGCATTCTACAGTCCTATGATTAGGTCTGAGTGTTTTAGTGAGCCTATTCCTCTGGACTAAGAACTTCACAAATGCTTTTCAGTCCCTTTTTCCTTAAGTGGGACATAATGGCTAGAGCTGGGTTTAGTTGGGTATTCCTCTTCCCCAAGATCAGTTAGGCTCTAATAAAACTCCTGGAGGTTAGGCTCTGGTTACAGAGTTTCTCTTGAGGGCAAACCTTGTTAAGAAGAACAGAGTACTCTGGCGTGTTTCAAAATGGTTCCTTTTCCTCTTCCTCTGCTGAAAGAATGAGGGATTTTTTTTCCTCCAATATTTACTGAGAGATCCTGGCTGAGCTCCTGGAGGTAAAACACACAAAACTGTGGGGGCTCACCTGAAGGTGTTTGGGGTTTTTTTGGTCTAATTTTTGTTGTTGTTGTTGTTGGACACAGAGTCTCACTCTGTTGCCCCGGCTGGAGTGCAATGGCGAGATCTCGGCTCACTGCAAACTCCATCTTCCAGGTTCAAGTGATTCTCGTGTCTCAGCCTCCTGAATAGCTGGGATTACAGGCACCCGCCATCATGCCTGGCTAATTTTTGTATTTTTGTAGAGATGGGGTTTTACCATGTTGGCCAGGCTGGTCCTGAACTCCTGACCTCAGGTGATCTGACGACCTTGGCCTCCCTAAGTGCTGGGATTATAGGTGTGAGCTATCACGCCTGGCCTAATTTTTTTTTATTGTGATCCAAATACACATAGCATAAAACTTAACATCTTAATCATGTTTAAGTATGCAGTTCAGTGGTATTAAATACATTTATAATGTTGTGTATCCATGTCTGCCCTCCATCTCCATAACTCTCTTCATCTTGTAAAATAGAAACTCTATACCCATTAAGTGTATGTTTGTTAGATTTAGTTGGTTTATTGTGTTGTCTAAGTCCTCTGTGTCTTATCTTTTGTATAATTGTTCTATCCATTACTATTAGTGAAGTCTCCAACTACTATTACAGAACTGTTTATTTCTACCTTCAATTTTGTCAGTTTTTGCTTCATATATACTGATGATCTTATTATTAGATGCATAAATGTTTGTAATTGTTATATTTTTATTTTAAAAATATAATTACAAAACATACATTTTTGTAATTGTTATATATATTTTGCTGTATTTAAATTTTTATTAATATTTAATATTCTTTGTCTCTTGTAAGTTTCTTTCTGATTTAAAGTTTATTTTGTCTGACAGTAGTATAGCCACCCTTATCCTCTTTGGGTTACTATTTGTATAAAGTATCTTTTTCTATCTTTTCACTCTCCATCTATTTATACAAGTCTTGGGATCTAAAGTGAGTCTCTTTTAGTATATAATTAGGTCATGTTTTTAAAAAATCCATTCTTCCAACTTGCTTTTTTTGTTGTTGTTGAGAGTTTAATTCAATTACATTTAAAGTAATTACTGATAAAGAGGGACTTGTGTGTATCATTTTGCTATTTGTTTTCAATATGCCTTACAGCTTTTTCATTCCTCATTTCCTGAACTAGTCTTATTTTGCATTTAATTTTTCATAGTGAAACATTTAAGTTCTTTCCCTATTTTCTTTTGTATATATTCTATAGCTATTTTCCTTATGGTTACCATGAGGATTACATTTAGCATCCTAAAGTTAACTTCAGTAATGCCCAAAGAACTCCACTCCTTTAGTAGTTTCCCACCCCTTTCAGTTGTTGATGTCACAAAATTACATTCCCAAAACATAAATGAATAATTATTTTAAATGATTAGTCTCTTCAATTATGTAGAAAACAAAATGTGGAGTTACAACCCAAAGTTACAATAATACTAGCTTTTGGGCTACTAAATTTTAAAAACGTATTAATCTCTTAAAAATGTAGAAAACAAAACAAGTTACAAACTATTATTACAATAACACTTAATTGTCCATGTATTTACCTTTGTTGAGATCTTTATTTCTTCTTAGAGCTTTGACTGTCCTTTCATTTTACCCTACAGGGCTCCTTTAGGCATTTCTCTTTTTTCTTTCTTTTCTTTTTTTTTTCTTTCTTTTTTTTAAGGCATGGGCATTTTTTGGAAGAAAGTCCTGGTGGTAATTAACTTTGTTTTTGATTGTCTGGGAATGTCTTAATTTCTCCCTTATCTTTGAAGGACACTTTTGCTGAATAGAAGACTCTTGGTTGACGGGGTTTTCTCTTTTAACATTTTGAATGTATTGGCTCACTGCCTTCTGACCTCTAAATTTTCTGATGAGAAATCTGCTGGTGATCTTCTTGAAGATGTATGTGATTAGTTGCTTCTCTCACTGCTTTCAAGTTTTGTGTCTTTCACTTTTCAAAAGTGATTATATTTGTCTCAGTGTGTATCTCTTTAAGTTCATCTTACCTGGAGTTTGTTGAACTTCTTGGATGTTTATATTCATGTCTTTTACCAAATTTGGAAAGTTTTCAACCATTATTTCTTCAAATATTCTTTCTAGTCCTTTCTGTCTCTCTTCTTCTTCTTCAGGGATGTCCACAATGCGTTTATTGGTTCACTTCTTGGTGTTCCACAGGTCCCTTAGGCTCTGCTAACTTTTCTTCAATCTTTTTTCTTTCTGTTCCTCAGACTCAATAATTTCCATTGTCATGTCTTCAAGTTTGCTGCCTGTTTAACCCTGCCTTTGAATCCCTCTAGTGGTTTTTGTTTTTTTTTTATTTTACTTATTGCACTTTTTACCTCCAGAATTTCTTTTTGGTATACTTTTAGGTTTTCTGTCACTTTACTGATATTTCCATTATTTTCATACATCAATTACTTGACTTTATCCACATTTTCCTTTAGTTCTTTGATTATCTTTAGAGTTGTTTAAAAATCTTTGTGTGGGATATCTGCCATTAGGTCTTTTTCAGGGACAGTTTCTCTTGATATTGTTTTCCCTCTTGGGATGAGCCATGCTTTCCTGTTTCTTGGTATGCCTTTTTGTTATTGCTGTTGAAAACTAGACCTTTGAATCTAATAATATGATAGCTCTGGATATCAAATTCTCCCTCTTCCCCAGAGTTTTCTGGGTTTTGTTGTTGTTTTTGTTTTTTATTGTTGTAGGCTGTCTCTATGCCAAGGATCAGCCTGAGGTGCAAACTTAAGGCCTTCCCAGATCTTTTCTGAGCCTGTGCCTTTCCCTAGGCATGCACAGTCACTTTCTAATTTTCCTTTTATAGGCAGCTGCTTTTGAACGTCCTAGTATTTAAGGTCTAGCTGTCAAGGTGGTGGAGGGTGGGTGGAGAGAAAAAGTTGGGGGAGGAAAGGGCAATAGCCCTTTAAATCCCCTGGAAGTCACTTCAACTGGAGTGGGAGGGGCTTGCAATGATTGGGAGAGGTGCAACAATGACTGCCTACCTCTTCCATCAGAAGCAGCCATCGGTGATCAGAGCACAGATTCCTGATATCTCAGACAGGGTCCTTTGTGCCCACCCTTGTTACCACAAGTTGTGTGCAGGTTCTTCAGGAGCATGTGCACAACTGTCTGCCACAGGTTTTGAGGCTGGGGGACAGGGAGCTGTTCTAAGAGCTGAAACTGAAATTAATCTCAGTTTACCATCCAAGCCTTCCTCTGGCATTTACAAGCCTTCAGTAGACTCCGGAGTTCTAAAATAGTTACATTCTGACAGATTCTGCCAGTGTAATGATAGTCTAGGTGGGGCTACAGATAGTTGGTACTTCCTACTCTGCCGTCTTTCCAGAATCCTCTTCTCCCAAGAGTTTTTAACTCCCAGACCAGTCCACTCTGAGTTTCTAGCAATTCATCAATTACAGTTCAGGTTTTCCTAGCCTGGCACTGGTTCCCACAGTGGTTTCCACTGGTGAGTCTCCATCAGTTTGTCTCTCCAGTCTTAGGGGCAGCAGTTTGCCCCATGTTCTCACTTCTCTTATGGATCCAAGAATAGTTGTTGATCTTCTAGTCTGTTCAGCTTTATTTATTTATTTATTTTTGAGATGGAGTCTCGCTCTGTCACAAGGCTGGAGTTCAGTGGTGCAATCTTGGCTCACTGCAACTTCTGCCTCCCTGGTTCAAGCGATTCTCCTGCCTCAGCCTCCCGAGTAGCTGGGACTACAGTCACACACCACTACGCCCACCTAATTTTTATATTTTTAGTAGAGACAGGGTTTCACCATGTTGACCAGGATGGTCTCTATCTCTTGACCTTCTGATCTGCCCACCTCAGCCTCCCAAAGTGCTAGCTTTGCAGGTGTGAGCCACTGTGCCTGGCCTGTTCAGCTTTTTACTTGTTTCTAGGACCAAGTGGTTATTTACAAGCTCCCTACATGCAAAAATGGCCAATTTTTTTTTCTAATTTTTCAACAATTAACTTGTACTGCCTGAATAATTATAATAATCAAAATAATTTTTAAAAAAGTAATTGTAGAGAAGTAATGATGGGATCTTTCAGGTCAATTCCTGATCTCAGTGGACCATGGGGGCTACTCCACCAGACATTTATTATCTTATCTCCAATACCTACTGTGTATGTCTCTATAATGTATTTTCTCACTTGATCGCTTAAATCCTTGAAATGTTCCCAAATCATCTGTGAAAGAAATAACTTATAGTCAAGGACCCCTGTTTGATTCTAATATACTGTTGTGGGTTTTTTCCTTTAGAACTTGGAGAATCTGGTGGCTCAAAATACCATTGGCCCTGTCTTTTGCCCAAGGCTCTACCACCTGATGGCTTACATCTGTATATTGATGGGAGATGGGCAGAAATGTGACGTCTTCCTGAACACAGCCTTGCGACTCTCTGAAACACAGGGGAATATGCTGGAGAAATGCTGGCTGAACATGAGCAAAGTATGTATCATCAGCTAGCAAACTGGGGTGGGAGATGCTCACCCACATAAAGAAGCCCGGAAGCCCACTGCCTGGTTAGGTTTCCCCAGGCCTGGAAGGTCTTAGTCTATCCAGGCTGCCGTAACAAAATATCTTAGACTGGGTCGTTGGTAAACAATGGAAATTTACTGCTCAGTTTTGGAAGCTGGAAGTCCAAGATCAAGGCTCTGGAGATTCTCTGTCTGGTGAGGTTCCATTCCTCACAGATGGTGCCTTTTGCTGTGTCCTCACATGTCAGAAGGATGGAAAAGGAAAACTTGCTCCCTCCAGCCCTTTTATAAGGGTGCAAATTCTATCCATGAGGGCAGAGCCCTCATGACCTAATTACCTCCCCAAGGCCCAACTCTTAATATCATTACCTTGGGGGTTAATTTTCAACATATGAATTTCAGGGGATGCCAACATTCAGACCATAGCAGTCACAATAGGCCTTTCTGGATTCTTACCAGAAAGAGTGACATGTCCATATTTTAGGTTTGTGAGCTTCCTCTTCACCTTTAAGTTCTCATGGTCTCTCTCCCTCATCCAAATCCCCCTTAGCATGCCTTTCTCTGCCCTTCTTTGTGGCCACTTTCCACTTTGTGTTATATCTGTCTGTATGTCTTTCCTCTCCTTCAGAATGTGAACTCTTTGACAGCAAAAACCACACTTAGTGCCTAGCACAGAGCCTTATACTCAGTTTTGTTGAATAAGTGAGTGAATGTATGAGTATACGTGTTTATTTAAAGAGGGCTGTGTCAGTATCCTAGTTTGGACAGCAAGATTCATTTTTTTCTATGGGTTCACATGGTTTTGAAAGCTCAAAGTTATTTTGCCTTGTTTGATATTGGACTAACCTTGATTACGAAAGTCAAGAAACACTAATGATTTCTTTGTTCTGCTTCTTTCCTCTCAGGAATGGTGGTACTCAACCTCTGAGTTAAAAGAAGAACAATGGTTTCAGACGATCTTGAGTCTCCCATCATGGGAAAAAATTGTAGCAGGCAGGGTAAACATTCAGGATCTTCAAAAAAACAAATTCCAGATGAGAGCTAATACCGTGGACAATCATTTCTAACATGTCAAAGAAAAAAGATTTTAGTAAGCACTGTGTCCTTGTGATTATCTATTATTGACCTTTCTCCGTGGCTGGCCCGCTCCAGGTTCCTACATAATCTCTTCTGTTACGGACATAGAACCAGACATGTTGACTTCTTCTCTTTCTGGAGGGTCTAAAAGGGTCAGGAGTGTCATAGTTTACTTCCTCCTAATGTTACAAAAAATTGCTTTTACCATTCATGTTGTTTTAGCTTGACCTGTTTATTTCAGCCCATGCAAAACTGTATCATATTAGAAATTATTAATCTCAAGATGGTATGACATCATGTGTTACAAAAGACATGTTTCTAGTTAGTATATTAACTGAAAATACTTATTTTTAAATGTCCAATTGTTAAGTCTTTTGGAGGTAGCACAATATTACAAATAGCAAACATTTGTCATGGTCTACAAAGACAGAATTAGAAAAGATACATGTTTGTAGGGCCTGACTGCAGCTTCCAAAGCCAGGGTGATGTCTTAGCCCCTCTAACCACATGCATCAAATATCAAATAAAATTTTAATATCAGATAAATGTTTAATATAAAATAAAGATCAAGTTTTAAACATTAAAATGTTAATAATTTTTACATGGGTATATTTTACATATTTAGAGTTTGCATTTTTTTATATTTAAGAAATAACAAATTCATTCTTCATCATTTCCCAGATGCAAAAGCAAGGCTGGGCATTTTTTCTCCTAATCACATAACTGAGTTCCACAAAGGAGGTTGGACAGAACCAGAAGATACCACGAGGTTAGCCACAGTGGCGTGGTGGCCTGGCATGGAGCGAAGAGCTCCAACCTAAGAAATCGGAACATTATGTTCTAACATGAGCTCTGCCATAAGCACAGTTTATTCCTGCCTGATACATATATCCTGCCTGATCCACATAACCTCCCTATGTTAGTGCACATTTGTGAATATTGAATAAGATAGTGAAGGTTAAAAAGTGTTGAAAATTATAATGTGCCATACAAATAAAAACAAACTAATATTAGATGACTGATTTTAAAATAAACACATCAAATACTGAACTTCGATTAAGTATTGTCCCCTTCAAAGCTGTCATCCTGGAAGTTGCATGCTCGCCCCATGCTGCAATATAGAAATCCCTTGCTTTCTACTTGCCTTATTTTGTACTTTATTCATTCTCTCACTTATTCACCCCACTACCATTTTCCAACTCATTACTGTATACTAATCCCTGATTAAGTGCTGGAGATTAAGATATAAAAACATGAAGGACACAATTCTTGACCTCAGCAAGCTCACATGTCCAATAGAAAAAACAGATGCACATGTAAACCTCACTGAGCCCATTCTACTGTAAGATAATAGAGCTGTGTTCATATCCTGCATGGTGGAAGGAGAGACACATACAAAACCTGGACATCTTGAAGACTCAGCTGAACAGCTCTGAGCTCAGATTCATTTCCATTACATTGTCATAATAAGCTAATGCCTTAATCATAACAAATCCTTACATTTGTACAACTCTTTATAGATACAGAGAGTTCTGGGACCTGCTCTTATCTTCTCCCTGCAAACCCTGAACAGTGAGAATGGCAGATGCTTTGGCTTGGCTGAGATCATCTGGCCAGTAAGTGGCTGAACTGGAGCCTAAATCCAGAAATTGTGTGCCCTTGTCCAGGCATATTCAAGTCCACTTTTTCTGGCTCTCTGTCTGTGCTTCTGCAAGCCATCAGGAAACAGTGTTTTCTGTCTTAAAAATTGCTCTGACCATCTAAAGATTCAAGTTCCCTTTAGCTTCCACCAAATGGACCTAGTTATACTCTTTGGAATCATACAGAATCAATTTAAGTCTGTTCCTCACTGACCCCTTCAAACCCTTGAACATACCTCTCATGGTTCTCTTGAGCCTTCTGCAAGCTAAATATCTCCGGTTCCTTCCGCTTCTCCTAACATCTCCTTGTTTTCGGTTCCCTCAGTATCCTGGTCACTTGTCTCTGAATAGATTCAAATTTATCTCTATTTCTCTTATATATGAGCTATAGAATGGTCAATCTGGAATAGGAGAGGACTCTTACTTCTTTTGTTCTACCTAGAAGAGTCCTATGAAAACCACTTATGTGCCTTCGCTTTAGCCATTTTTGGAGTCACTGTGGACATACTCCAATTATCTGGAAGATAATCCCAAGTTGGCTACTTACTTTCTGTGCCTTAGTTTCCTCATCTATAAGTGGAAATAATAGTAGTATGTACTGCATGGAGTTTTGTGGGGTTCTTTTTTTTTGAGAATTACATGAAAAACACTGCCTAGAGCTGGGCGCAGTGGCTCACAACTATAATTTCAGCACTTTGGGAGGCTGAGGCAGGTGGATTGCTTGAGCTCAGGAGTTCAAGGCCGGCCTGGGCAACACGATGAAACTCTATCTCTACCAAAAAAAAAAAAAGCAAAAGGTTAACTGGGTGTGGTGGCACACGCCTATAGTCCCAGCTACTCGGGAGGTGGAGGTGGGAGGATTGCTTGAACCTGGGAGACAGAGGTTGCAGTGAGCAGAGATCATGCCAGTGCTCTCCAGCCTGGGCAACAGACAGAGTGAGACTGTCCCAAAAAACAATTTTTAAAAAATTTTACAAAAACCGCTGGCTAGTATACAGAAGGAGATCAATAAGCATTAGCCTTTAATACTGTCACATGTATTCTAACAAGTTCTCCCCATCCTATACTCAGACAGTTTGTTTTTTTTTTTTTACTTTAAAGAGAACAGATGGTGCAGACAGGAAACAAAGAAGCACACTGTGGTCTGCTATTAGCCAGTGAGAGAGAAGTAAACTAAAACATGTGTCTAAATGCTGATGGGCAAAGGAAGGTAGGCCTTTGAGCACTCTCTCTGGATGGTGGCCTTTATCTTTAGCCTATGCCTTCCTTATTGGGTTATACTTGTTCCTTCTCTTTAAATATCCTGCACCCTGTGTTAGGCCTTCCTGGTGGTAACTGCAGGCAGTGATCATGATAGAGTCAAGCCATCTCCTTCGAGCTTAGCATCCTCTGGTTGCCACTCTGCATTGCTTGAACATAGACTCAGGGGACAGTACCCTGGGGTTCTGTCCCAACCACCTTAGTCTGGTTCATACTCAGCTGCCCCACCGCTGACAAAAGCGTGAGTCTCACCCCTGTGCCCTTTGTGAACTGCAGGCAAGTATTCACGTTTTCTGTAACTCAACACCTCCAGGCTTCCCTGTGATTTTGATTCTATGGGTAGATAGTGCTAACGAGTGTGAGGATTTCTGAAACTAATAGTTCATCTCCCAAATTACTGAAAAACTAAAGCATACCACACACCTATGAGAATGGCCAAAATCTAAAACATCAAATGCTGGCAAGGGCGTGGAGTGACGGGAACTCTCACTCGTTGCTGGGAGGAATGTGAAGTGGTGCAGCCATTCTGCAAGACAGTTTTACAGTTTCTTACAAAACCAGACATATTCTTACCATACAATTCAGCAATTGTGCTTTTTGGTATGTACCCAAATGAACTGAAAACTTATATCCATACAAAACCCTGCACATGGATGTTTATAGCAACTTTATAATTACCCAAACTTGGAAGCCACCTCAGTAAGTGAATGGATAAACTGTGGTAAATCTGGAATGTTATTCAGTACTAAAAAGAAATTAGCTATCAAGCCATGAAAAAACAGGGAAGAAGCTTAAATGCACGTTACTGAGTGAAAGGAGCCAGTCTGAAAAGGCTACATGCTCTCTGGTTCCAACTATGTGACCTTCTGGAAAAGGCAAAACTATGGAGACAGTGGTTGCCAGTGGGGTGGGAGGAGGAGAGATGAACAGGAGGAATCTAGGGGAGTCCTAGGGTAGTGAAACTATTCTGTACATTACTCTGAAGGGGGATTCACATCATTATACATCTGTTCAAACCCATAGAATGTATAACACCAGAGCGACTCAACGTAAACTATTGACTTTGGGTCAAAACGCCGTGTCAATGTGGGTTCGTTAATTGTATCACATGTACTGCTGTAGTGGGGAATGCTGTTAGCAGGTGAGGTTGTGAGTATGTAGGATCAGGAGCTATACGGGAATACTCTACCTTTCACTTAATTTTGCTATGAGTCTAAAACTGCTCTATAAATAAAGTTTATTAAAAACAAAACCAAAAATACCTAAAGCATATGTTGACCAGCTCCCTTTCCCTCCACAGAGCTAGGCTGCCTCATTCCCCAGTGCTTCTCCTGCCCTAGAAGTGCAGTGATGAGAACTGGTTTCAAAAAAAAAAAAGAGCAGAGCAGAGAGGAGGAGAAATGGGAAGAGGAGAAGAGGGGAGGAATGGGGGGGAGGGGGGAAGGGAGGAGAGAGGGGAGAGGAGAGAAGAGGGGAGGAGAAAGGAGGTGGGGAGGAAAAGGGGGAGGAGCGAAGAGAGAAAGGAAAAAGCGAGAAAAGAGTATACTGCAATTTGAAGGTTAAGTTCCATGTGCCTGAATCCAGAGGAGCGTGGATCAGGTTTTGCAGAAACCCTGTACTTGGTTCCGGTTCTGACTATGCCACCACTTACGTGACCTTGGGCAAGTCCCTTTTTCATCAGTTTCCTCATCTCTAAACTAAGCGAGTTGTGATAAAATCCCTTCCCTCCTACATCTGGCTGTGATTCAGCCTCCTAACAGGATGGATGTGGGCGAACCTGCTCTTGGCCAGCAGGTGGCAGCACTGGCTCCTTACTGTGGCTGCAGTCAAACGAACCGTTCTGGTCAAGCTCTGGAGGCTTTTGTCTTCAGACCTGCAGCCTCAGCACTTAGCACCACTGGGGCGCCCTTGGTTACCTACAGGAAGCTTCCAGCATGACGTCCTTGGGGCATCCTGGATAGAATTATTTTTAGGAGAAGGCAGACATAAATAATCCACCAAGGATTCAGGAACAGGAATGAAAAAGTGATTTTTTTTTTTTTTTTTTTGAGACAGAGTCTCACTCTGTCGCCCAGGCTGGAGTGCAGTGGCCAGATCTCAGCTCACTGCAAGCTCCGCCTCCCAGGTTCACGCCATTCTCCTGCCTCAGCCTCCTGAGTAGCTGAGACTACAGGCGCCCGCCACCTCGCTCGGCTAGTTTTTTGTATTTTTTAGTTGAGACGGGGTTAGCCAGGATGGTCTCAATCTCCTGACCTGGTGATCCGCCCGTCTCGGCCTCCCAAAGTGCTGGGATTACAGGCTTGAGCCACCGCGCCCGGCCAGTGATGATCTTTTAAAAATATTTTGTTTTATTTTTGTCACGACCCCCATGCCTGTCAAC